TGTGTGAAGGGAAATCTAGTTAGTTAAAAAAAAAAAAAAGATAATTACAATTATTTGCTCACTTTGTCATTAATCCTTAGCAGTCTTTTTTTGTTCCATTTAGATTTTTTGTTGTTAATGTAGTGTAAAAAAAATGTATGGTTGAAAATGTTCATGTTTTACCATGCTTTTTAAGCTCCTTTGTGGACCACAAGGGGAAAAAAACAAAGTAAAAATAAAGTTGGAAAAAAATATATATGCAAATTAGGCAATGACGTCATTCAGCGACTTGTAGCCCAGCCAATAGCTACTTTCCTTACTGAGGAGTTGGCAACACTGTTTCCAGCTGCTGTCACAAGTTGATCTCGTCACCAGTTGACCTGTCACACTGGAGCCAGACCACGTGCTCCCTCGGAAACCCCCGCTCCTTCACGGGAAGGCAATTCACAAGTAAATCATTTTCCTTTTCTTTTGATGCATTAATGAAGTGCTGCGCACGGCGAGAGAGACAGGTAGATTTAGGGATTTGAATTGATGAATTAACCCTCCAGAGGTGAAACCACAATACCTGGTAAGTAAGTAAATTAATGCTACAATTATTCAATGAAGAACACTAAATTGATTTCACTTTCGATTTTGAATAGGTTAAATAATTAACTATAAGTCCAGTTCTAGTTAATCATTTATTCATTATCCGCAGGATATTATTTTGCACAACAGCAGTGATTTAAAATAATAAACAAAAAATTAAGATAAAAACACATATCTAATATACATGTCTATATAACAGAGAACAACAGAAAGTTCATTTACATTCAGCTGTCCTTTGTGGTCTTTACTTGGTCATTGAAATATTTTTTTTTTAAACAAGATGCTTGCACTGAAAGAAGAGATGTGNATTTTAAGTGTAAAGAGCTTGTCTAACTAATGTAGTAATTACTTAAAACATCTTTTTCTCACATTATTCTTTTTAGTTTTGTCCTTATCCTCAAAGATTTTGAGCACTAACAAAAGTCTCATTTTAAGTAGAAATTACTTAAAATATTCTTTAACATAGCTAAATATTTTGAGGTAATCAGTTTAATCAAACATTTTGAGTTCATTGAATCTGGTGGGGTTTACAGTGCATGACGACAGTGAATAATGAGAAAGAGAATCCACGCATGCACAGGCATGTTAAGCTTGCAGTTTGCGTGTTCTCTGCCTGATAACTGCCTGATAACAAGTTAGAGGAAGTTAAATAGAAATTCCAAACTGCAAGACCTTGGACCAGTGGTTGTCCCCAGAACTTTCTGGCTGCAAGGCAACAGCACTTGGGAACTTATTTCATTTATTTTGTTAATACTATTTGGTAAGATGAATTCAATTTACTTGTCTTACACTTCAAATAAAAGGGGTCATTTTGATGTAAAGGTATTACATGATGATTTGCAGTATATGTTAAAAACTGATGTAATATTTACAGGACCAAAAAGGCAAATTTTTCAGAGTAGTCTTGGGCTGCTTGCTTATCGTCCAGTTTTCCCCTCAGTCTGGTATCGGTAACACTAAGAGTGAAAAAAATCATAAAAAAAAATGTAATGTGTGTTCCATCAAAGGTAAGTTTTTATACCTGATAATGTGGAAAAACAAAGGAAGCAACATGAAATATCTGTACTGGATAAGGGTTTTCAAGAAAATATAAAATCTAATCTTTTCAAGTTTGTTTGTCATTCCACAGTACAAGGCTATTGCAGAAGTCTTATTCTCCCTTCATTGCAGTGACTCAATTTCTGTAGAATACAGGAAGTAAAGTTGCAGTAAGATGAGGGTGGTATTTATGCCTGCAGATAGCTGTATATAAGGATAAGCTCTCTGTCAGGCCATTCTTACAGGTTCACAGCTGCATAAGGAAACCCTGTCTAGAGACCAACAGCTTGCACAGTGAGTCATTGTTGTTTGCTAGTTACAGTATAGGAATAAAATAAAGTACTGTTGTTTTTTTGTCATTTTGTCATTTTTTAACTGGAAACTTTATTATGTAAACCAGTAAACATGTTTATTTTATTATAAATAAATTTACTTTTATGTATTGATTACATCTAAAATATGTTACACAGAAATGTGTGTATTTTACTCTATTCATTTGATTAATTTACAGCTTGTTTGACAGAAGAAAAACAGCAAAAAAGAAAAAAGAGCAAAGAAAAATGATAAGCCAACACTGAGACCTTATCTGAAGAAAGCATCGGTGCTGATTGAACAGGCTCATATAGCAAACTGTCACCCTGATTAAAAATATAACTCCAAAAATAGACAACAGCCTAATGTTTCAGAGCACAAAGCAACCCAAACATAAACAAATATGATTATTTGAATCCTAGGTTAGCTAAAACAGATTATTATGATATACTTAAGATCAATATTTAAAAAACCAATTTGCAATTTCTCCTTTAGGATGTTTTTGTAAGTATGACTAATATTTTAGCATTTTCTCCACCGAAATATATTGTATGTCTGCAGCCTTTTGGAGAGCATTTCATCACATACCAGGGAGAGAACATAGTTCAGCAACTACAAAGCTGAATTTATCAGTCTAAGACTTGTTTTAGCTTACAAGGTATTTGAGAAAAGAAAAACTAAGACAGAATATCTTGTGCATGTTTAGACAGGCGCAATTTTTTTTTTACAGGGGCCCGTAGAGATTTGTTTTTACTAGTGCATTCCAAAGAAAAAGGCAAGGAGGATAAAAGATATTTCCTGTCTTTCCATAGAAACGTCTTTTAACATTTAGTTGAAAAGGCTTTTGTGCTATTTTGACATAAGAAAACAACCGCTCACTCATCAAGGACTATTTTCTTCATGTGAAATGGCATCTGTTTTGTTAGGTGGTTCAGACCCTTTTGTAAAAAAAACAACTCAAACCAACGATGGCTGTTGGAAAGCAGTCCTTTTGGTGATGTCACCATTTCTCCTCAGTCCTCATAAGGTCTAAGTTCTTCCCCAGATTGCCTTGTATCGTCCACACCCTGTAATCCCACCTCTTCACTGCTGATCATCTGTACTGTGCTCTCAGCTTCACCCCAATACCCAGATTGTAACGGTGCTTCTCCTACCATCTCTTTTCCAGTTTATCTGTGGCTGCCATTCTAGTGGCACACATCTCTTTTCCCTATTTCCATTTGTCTATTGTCTTTGTCACTGTCATGGGTAGATGGACCCAGTATTCAGGCAAGACAGGCAGTGGGTAGTTTAAAAATGTTGAAACAGGGGGGAGGCGGGCACCACCCATCACTGGCACTCTGATTGGGGAGAAACACAGGTAAGTGACCACGATAATCTGAGAGAAGATAATTATCTAAGTGAGTAACTTACCTGGTTTAACAGTTCAGTTCAGCTCCTAAGAGTGAGGCAGGATCCAGCCAATGGACCGGCAACGAGATGCGGCGCAGAGCCGCCCAGAGTATCCCCGATACAGCAGCCCCGATGAACAGGCAGAAGTCCAAATCAGGTCAGGGAAACAGTACAGAACAAGGACGGCTCTGAGATCCAGGAGTCCATTACCCTGTCCCGGTCACTCCGACCAGAACAGGAACAGACAGATCCAGGGCTCCAGGAATCCACAGAACGTTCAGGCAGGTTCAGGGTTCTATGAGTCCAACAGAGAGCTCAGGCAGAAATGCTGAGTGGAAGCAGGAAGGCTCAGCAGTTAAGAGGCAGAAACATGAGACGAAACTAGGAAACCTGCGGAACATTAAACTAGCTCCCCCCTGCCGAGCCGAAGCAGG